ATTTGATATTAATAATTTCAAACGATCTCAATCATTTAGGACAACACCAATTTTGACTTTTTTGAGAACAACCTCATATAGCTAAATAAATACAATTAAGAATGAAAATTTTAAGAGTTTGCGAATTTAAAGATGATTTTAAAATAAATTATGAAAATTGTTTGTAGTATTGTTAGAAATGAAAATTGATACCGTGACACAACCAAATTTGATGTTTATTCCGAATTGGTCATCAATTTTTCAGGCAATATGTCATTAAAGTAACATTTTACATTTTAAATAGGAAAATCATCAAAATTGAATCTGAAAATCAGGTTTCTTAGATTATATACATAATCGGTGCTTTGAATTAGGAAACACATTCTCAATAACTTGTTTTATTGTCACATCTTGATCGGTTAAAACTAGTGTTGTTTCTTTCCCATGAGTTTTAAGAAACGTTTTAAGCAACCAATAGTAGGACTCAATGTTTTCATTTCTTAGCAACCCCGCTCCAACAGTAATTGATTTTTTATGATGGTCAATAGCAGTAAATGAAACAAAAACCATTCGATACCCTATAACACACAAAAAAAAAGTGTTCATTAAAGTTAGTTTTTGATGTATTCATAAGTGAATATAAAACTATTCATGTATGAATAGAGTTACAATATATAATAATAATAATAATAATAATAATAATAATAAAACATGAATATAAAATTATATTAAAAATAATTTCAATATTCAAAACGGGACACTAAACATATAGTTAAAATATTCATATATGAATAAGCTATAAAAAACTAGATAAAATAACTTACTTGTTTGTTCGGAAAGTCGCATCAAATGAGATAACATCATCAAATTCAACATAATATGTCTTCTCCATTTCGTCAGCCCAAAACATAGAGTCCAAAACATCATATTGACAATTAAACGCAAAAGTAATTTGGATAGTGAGTTCGACGGTCATTCATTGTGTTTACTATCAATTGCTCATATTTATAACCTATAACCTTGTTGATATCTCTCATTAAATTTTTATAGTCAACTACCTTGGGCTTTACAAACTCATACCTACCTCTCAGACTTGCCCTCAACTTATAAGCCATATTTTGGCCTATTTTTGATTTGGAAACACGCACTATAAACTCTTTTTCTGAATATAACATTTGTCTCGCTTTTTTTAAATCACTTCTCATCTCAAGTGGATGGTTGTGAAGTTCATCAAACTAAAAAACTTTATAATCTAGAGTTTCATACACAAATTCAAATATAATCTTTGCTTGACAACCAATAACTCTTGAATTTGAATTTCGTTTCCTCCTAACACCACTTGTACCCAATGTGTCACAAGATTTCTTTTTCTGTTTGCCACCACGATTACATATAACATGTTTCTTCTTTATAATATTGTTATCAAACATTGTCTGTGTGCTTAGTCCCATATCAAAACCACAAATTTCAGCATATTCAGAATACATTTTGTTGGCCAACTTTAATGATTTGAAGATTAAACCTTCAAATGGAATAAATTAAACAGATACATCTGGCTTATAGACATGTTCTCCAATTACATTACTACAATCATCTACTGAACTCGAAGATTTAACTGATAAAAAATTATGAAATCTAAGTCAATCTAGTGACACTTTATTATAATCAATAATAAACACAAAGGCACTCTTTATTCACATATGAATAAACCAAAAAACAATGTTTATTAATGCATGAATAAACAATCATATATGAATACATCAAATTCATATGATTCAAAAAATATAAAATAAAAACAGTACTTTGTATAAAAAGCTAACAAGATACTTGATGAGATCTTTATAAAAAGCTAACAAGATACTTGATTAATATAGGAGCTGATAATAATCTTTAACCTAAATATAAAAACAGTACTTCGAATTTTTACTATGAAAGTATAATTAGTTTTGTAACCACGGTTCCCACGGGTTATAAACTAGTATTTTGTATAAAAATCTAACAAGATACTTGATGATAAAAACATTATAAAACCAATATAATAAATGAAGGTTTATGCAACCACTCATACTTTTCGCATCTTAGTGCTACCAACATAACGTCATGAAAGCTCCATATAACCAAAAGCTACATTTGTATCGAAACATTTTCATTCTACGACGCTAGGTTTCGGTTTATCCACCCAAGTCACAGACTCTGAGACCAAACTAACATTTAGATTATCCAAACCCCACCAAGTAAGCTATAGAGCACCAAATAGAAGCCCCTAACATCGCAAGTACTAAAAATACGATCCACTCTCTCATTATGAGAAATAAAAATAGGACAAACAACTCGGTTAACATTTAAACCTATATCAACAAGGCGTCAAGGCTCATTAATCTTTTAAACAATCTTTTTAACCGCAATCTCTAAGCCAAAATGTTCAACTTGATAAGAACAAAAAACTTCAGTCTCATAGAACTATAGAAGTATTCTCCGTAACCAAATTGCTCAAGTCTACCTAGGACCTCGTCGTAGAGATCGAGAAAGTACACACTGAGTCTAAATTCCACGTCCATCCATCATGTTATCATAGATGAAAAAAATGAAGTAAACTACCCATTTCACACCATTGCTCCTCTTATGTACCCCTCTAGGTGGCTACATAAGAAAGAATGCTAACAAGGAGTCGAAACTCCATTGTAAACCGAAGACTATATGTTTATCTCAAGAGAAAATTTTTAAGGTAATGTTTGTTTAAATGGAAGACTACATATCCAAATATCTACAAAAAAAACATAGCTCTTTTTCCATTTCTCACTGATCTGTTCATCATAAGAGCTCTAAGTTCACCCAAGGAGTGCTATAAGATGAACCTCTAATCATCGATTGCCTAAAACACCCATTGCTCTATGAAATTATTTTATAATCCGAACTTATAAAGCTTGATCATCTTGGAAAAAGGTCAACTTCCATTTATAGAGAAACACCTGACCGAAAGAAAACAAGCTACCAACACCAAGACCTTATGTATTTGCTAGACAACATTTTTTCTAACTCACCCAAGCTATCCTTTAGTAATTAATGTTTTCTTAGTATCAAGAATTCCGAGGAAGTGTGAACAAAACAATGTTTTCAAAACAAGAAAATTTTTGAAACAGTTGAGAATTAAGCATATCAATGAGTTACTAATTATATATAGACAAAACTTCAAAAATGGTTCATGTGGTTTTCAAAAATATCAAGTTTAATCCCTAAGTTCAAAAAACCTCACAGATGGTCCCTGTGGTTTCAAAACTTTTAACATTTGGTCCTTCCGGCTCACTCTATTACCATTTAGCCGTTAAGTAAGGGGTATTTTTGTCATTTCACTACCCAGGGACCATTTATGAGGTTTTCTATTACTTTTTTTAAAATAAATAAATAAATAAATAAAATTTAATATGCAATGGGTACCACCTCTCTCTCTCTCTCTCTCTCTCTCTCTCTCTCTCAAAAGAACCCATCTTAAACTGGATCTTCACTTCGTCGATGAATTCATCTTCCGCCATATCAAACGAAGAAGACTTATCCCCTTTCATCATCAAAACCTTCGCCTCGGGTAACCCCGAAACCCGACTCCACCACCTCCGTCATTTCGCAGATCCAAAGAGGTGAGATCGAAGAAGTCTGCAAGGTTCATTATCAGGAACTCATAATGCTTTCGATGACCTGCATTCTCTTCTTTCAGGCGTCGAATCGCTTAAACCATCCATCTCCAATTCAAACTACAAGTTACAGTCTGTTGACGGCCCTCTCTTAACATCTCTCGATTCTTTCATAGAAGCAAGAGGGTTTCCACTTCCGCTTGGAATTCGCGATCAACTTGACCAGTGTCGCCGGGCAACCATTTAATGGGGACTTTACGACCGTCTGTGAGGGTGGCTTTGAAGACGAGACCAAATCCTCCACATCTGATTATGTTTTTTTTGATCGAAACTGTTGGTTGATTTCAAAGATCTTTGGTTTGTTTCGTTCGATTTCTAGAAAAGAACGACCTCGCGATTCATGTTCTTCTTTGTTGCTATCGGTTTCATCGTCTTGTTCTTGATCGACTTCTTGTCTGGTTGTTGCACGAACAAATGATCAAGAACATGAGTAGAAGAATGAATAATGTTCCATTCGATTCCGATTTCTATACCTGCAATTGCACCTTTGCTTTACTGGATTTCCCTATTTTTGGATTGTGGAAAGAGTTCGTTTGATTTCTAGCAAGTGTAATCGCATAACTTGTTTCCTTCAAGATTGAATTTGTAACATTTTGAACTGACCTCCCTTTGAATTGCACTAACTGCCGTTATATGTTTCTTGTATTGATTGGGGGGTGGCTGTATGCGATTCATAGAGGATAAAAGGGGGATACATGCTTTAATTTCTTCTTCTGTTATGTATTTTCTTGATGTAATTAAGATGTCGATACTTTTCTTTCATATAAATGGGAGCTAGGTATTTCTTTCACAGAAGAGGGTCTTAATGGAAGGCCAAATCTGGTTGTGATAGTGACGACTTTAAAGGTGGAGCTAGATCCTAATCCATCGATTGAACTAGATAGAATGAATCATTAATGTGTGTATGTGAAAGGGAGGGAGAGTGAATCATCAATATATGTGTATGTCTATGTGTTGGTCGATTGAGGTTCAGAAGAGAGTGAATATGGTTCTTGAGTTTGATTGTGTGTGTGTGAGAGAGAGTGTGTGTGTGGGACCCTTTATTATATATTTTATATTTTTTAAATAACAAAAAACTTCATAAATGGTCCCTCTTTTGTGAAATGACGGAATTTCCCTTCACTTAACGGCCAAAAGCTAACGGAGTTAGCGAAAAGGACCATTTGTTAAAAGTTTTGAAACCACAGGGACCATCTGTGAGGTTTTTTGAACTTAGGGATTAAACTTGATATTTTCGAAAACCACAGGGACCATTTTTGAAGTTTTGTCTTATATATATTCATTAATGCATAAGAGGATTAGAGGAAACATGGAAGAAATCATTTGGACCTATTGCTATCCATGCCTGCTTATGTAGGAAATGAACGACTCAGTCTCCTTACGAGATTCACCGCCCTCCGCCAACGACCTCTTCACTTTGTCCTCCAATTCCATCGCCCTCTTCCTCACCTCTTCCCCTTCCTTGGAATCCATTAATCTCCTAACAACATCCTCCACCACCACCGACTTTACCAACTCATCTTTATGTTCCCAATCTTTCACCACCAACCCAATTCTAAGAACATCAGTTATCAAAAATGCATTTCGTGGCTGATCAGAATGCATCGGCCAAGTAGCCATTGGCACTCCCCTTGATATACACTTTGTACATGAGTTCCATCCACAATGATTCGTGAACCCACCGGTTGCAACATGTCCTAAAATCTCAGTCTGTGGTGCCCACCCCGGCACCACCAATCCCCGCCCTTCCACCCTGTCTTTAAACCCATCTGACACTACTAGAAAAAGTGTAATATAATTCAGTTGAAAACATGAATATATTACGTAGGTTAAGCTCGTATTAGTAGAGTGGTGTATTAGATTACATGCTTAATAGAGTACGACTATTTAACCGTACTCTATATGTATCCTATCTATAGCATTACAACCATCACATAAAAGAATCTAATACACCAGATATAAGCATCTAATACACCATAAACAAACGTACTTGATGTCACATCCCCCATTCCTGCAATCCATTCCTGATTGCATTTCACCCATTCCGGCTTTGCATTCCAGCCTTATTCATCACCCAATTCCACTCCATGTATCTGTTGTGGAACACATGGATCACCATTCCAACTGAAATGAATCCTTCAATTTCTGCAAAGCTTTTAATACAACATAAAGAAAGAATTTTTACTTCATAAGAATCATTTTCAAAGCTTCAAATTCCAAGAAATGTTTTAAAAGTACCTTCATCAATTAAAGTTTTGGGCTCAGACAATTTCAAAGAACTCTATGGCACTAATTATGGTATGACTACCTTTTACAAGCTGTAAAGTTAATGTAAATAGATAATAAATATAAAATAATAAATGTAATGTAATAATTTTGTTAGGTATGATAGTATTTATACTATAAATATGAAGATGGTAAAATTGAAATTTTAAAATCAAACATACCTCCTTGAACTTTTCCGAATAAGTTTTTCTCTCGCAAGTCTTTAATCATTGCATCAAGCTTTATTTTAAATATCCTACACAGGATATCTGGCCTGTCTTCAGGTTTGAGATTTATGTATTTAAGAAACCTTTTGATTTCAGGCCATTTTGGATTGCATGTTATAGTTATAAAAAAAATCTAGATATCCAAACCATTTACAAAGGGACATAGCATCTAAATAGTTCTGCTGCATGTAACGTACACCACCAGTAAAAGAAGAAGGTAATATAACACGTTGTCAAGTGTTGGAAAAAGTTGTCTTCCCCTGATCTTGTACGTTTCGAAGATGTTCGTAGGATGCACATCTAAGATTTTTTTGTTTTTTCTGTACGAAAAAAAGTCTCTCGCTTTCGATCATTGTATAAGCATCAACCAAAAATTGTTGGAAAAGCCTTCTTGAATTAAGAATTAATGAGAAGCTATTAACCCTATCTTGAATTTTGTAAGCAAAAAATTCTCTCATTGTACAGTTAGGCCGCTTGCTGCTGCTTGAACTTGTTAGACCTCGATGAAGGATGTCTACTATATACCCTCATCACCATATGGAAAGAGTAGTGGATACTGAAGAGCGAGATAAGAAGGATGTAATTCACTAATACGTTCAAGAGATCCCGATGAATTTTGTACAATGATATCTCTATTTTGAAAAGAATCATCAATGTCTCCAACAATTAGAGCGGCAACCTCATATGCAGACGGTAAGTTATATGTCCTTCCATCTTGTATCCTTTTTCCAATAAGGCGTAACTTAAGGTCAATGTGAGGATTGTCTTGGAAACAATCTCTTACCATCCTATAAGACTGAACCAACACATTATTCGAATCCAACATAAGCTTCAAATCGTGTATAATTTGAAGATCAATTGAATCATAAGTTGATGTAGATGCATCTTCTTGTCGACTGGAAATAAAGTGAAATTTAAAAGTTAATAGTTGTAATGAAAAATAATGAAAAAAACATAAAATAATTTTGATATGTGTGAATATGTACCTAAAAATTGTTTGCCTATTTGACTCCTCATTGTCAGTGTCATATATGTATAACTGAGAGAATTTTGGTTTAGATCCATTTGAGGGTAATAGACTTCCAATTCTATGATAATTTTGACCGCCAAGTCTGAATATGTATGGAGCTTTTCCAATATTAATGGATGCATAAACTTTCCCACCCATTGAGGTAAACGGAAACATTGAATTGTAACGACGAATGTTATTAATGAAGTATTTGGATTTAGAATCTGTTGAACGATAAAGATTTAGGTAAGTTGGCGGCGCTTCTTTAGAATCTGGCAACTCAACCTTGCCATAACCACAATATAGTGAAAAACTTGTATTATGTTTATCTTTTCCTCTAATAGATTCATCCGTCCATAACTTTGCATTACATATTTGACATACAACATTCTGGTCACCATGATCAATGTAATCTGTTAAAAAAATCAATGTCAAATATAACTATCTATGTAGCTGTAACAATTCCATAAATTTAAGATAATAATAAATTCAAATAATTTTTTTTGTGATGGTTACCTTTTGATACACCTTTAGCTATGTTTGCATGTGTATGTTGATCATTAACTTCTTCATCTATTGTCAAGTCAAACATAGGAATTGCAGATATGTTGGTAGGCTTGCTTTTTAATCTCTGGGTTCGTCTTGTTAAATTCACAGAAGAAGAAGGTTGAATTATAGTCGATGAGTTGATGGATTGCATGTCATTGGAAAAAAAGAGTAATGTCTGTTATTTGATATTGGTGTTTGGATGTTATTATAAGAATTATATACGCCTGTAAAAAATGATAGAATAATTAGATAGTATAATTTTTGTTAGAATTTTTATACATTAGTGAATGACATTAATAATAGGTGGTAGAAAATTACTCATACCATTGGAAATGTTAGATAATGATGTTCTAACATTTCAAATTGAAGAAGGAGATTGTAAGCTTCTTTGTTGATATGAAAATGATTTATAGTTGCTTGTATTTTCGTTACCAACATTTTTTGAGTTGTTTGAAGGTAGCAACTGTCCAGAAGGATTGCACATTTCTGTTATACAATATAAACATATGTTAAAAAAATATATAATTATTTATAAGAAATGAAGGTATGAAAAGAAAAAAAAAATATATTTATAAGGAATGGAAAACGATTACCATCAGTGTGCATGTTAAAAACATGAGAATTATTTGGACTTTGAACAGTTGATGCGGTGGACACTCTTTTGGATTTTCTATTATCCAAATATAACTTTCTAATCTTTCTTCTCTCTCTAGCATAATTATAATACATGTCCATTCGTTATATAAAACAAAAGTAATGAACACGATAAAAAAATCACAATAAAATGTATTCAAAATATAATGAAAAATTCAAAATGTTTCAAGATACTTAAAAAGATTTATCAATCGTTTTAAGAGATTGATATCTAATTCGTTCATATATTAATCTCGAAAATAGTAAAAGTTGGATAAAAAACGAAATTGATACTATCACCATTCTCTTTCATGTTTAAAACATGTATGGTTGATGAATTCTGAGGTGCTGACGTAGAAGAATTTTTTTTGGATTTTTTTTATCCAAATATAATTTTCTAAGTTTTCTCTTTTCTTTAGCATGACTGTAGTCCATATTTTTCTTTGAATCTGCAAAAAAAAGTATTAATTAAATGTTAAAAAAGATGATATATATTTGCAAAGATGTTATAAGAATATATGGAGAGTTAAATAATCACAATCAAATAAACTCATTCTTGAAAAAACACTTTGGTAAAAAGGTTTAATAGTTACTGTTCATGAGTCAAGACAATGGAAACAAATGTTCCACATATTAAATAATACATAAAAATTCAATTTATTATTCTCGATATTGAAATCACCCAAATAACACTTATGAACTTGACATGTTTGAATGTATTAATTTAATATATTTATAAAGAAATAACAAAAAACATAAATATCAAATTACATATTATATCCCTATTCTAATAAATGAATAGTTTTAATCTCATTTTGCCAAGTTTCACTCTAATACAACTCCTCATTGATATTATGTCATGTGTCATGTAGATATATTAGGCAACTCATTTCAAAATTCAAATTTACATTTTCTAATTATATGTTAAATTTGAAGTTATAATAAATTTAAAATTTTTATATATTTCTTAATTAATATTTTATTTAAATGACTTATTTAAAATAACTGATTAATAATTATAAATTTTTATTATAAAAGTTTAATTAATTTTATAACCGTGGTTCCCACTATATTATAAGTTTTTGTATAACATTAACATAATCTACTTTTCTTATGTCCGTAATATTTTTTTGGATAAAATAACAAATAAGTTGTTTTGAATGAGCTATTAATAAACAATATTGAACTAATAAACTTTGTATTACACTATTTATATTACACCAAAACATCCAAGGTTTCATATATGAACTTTCAAATATTAAACATTGAAATTTAGAATGAAGTCATACAAAATATATCATTATACATAAATGTCATCAAGAGTTTTAAAATAAGTCGATTAGTAAATATGATATTTAATTTTAATTACATATTTTGCAAGACGTACGTTTGACTTTATGTTGGTGCGCCGAAAATCCTCTTCCGTAATTTGTACCTAAAAAATTAAGGTGAATAAGAATATAAAATAGATATTACTAAGCATTAATATAAATAATTAAAAATGATATGTGGATCTCCTACCACCGATTAAAGACAACATACATTTCTAGTGGTATCGATTCCTATGTGAAATTGAAGTAGTCAGTCATTCTACACCATTGTTTTCTAATTACATAAACAAATATGAGTAACCAAACATAAAAAATTTATCTTTATGTAGCAAAAATATTTTAGTTACTAACAAATTAAATAATATATGTTTAAGAGTTAGGAGTTTCAAAACATTAATATTTTTATTAACCAATCAATTAAGTAACACATGTTTAATTTTTACAATCATTATTAAAAAGCATTTGAAATATTATTTTAAATGAATTTTGGTTGAAGTGTTTTGACCTCTATATTTAATATATATATATATATTATATATATATATATATATATTATATATATATATATAGGTTTAGGTTCTATGGAAAACAAAAAACCCTAAAAAAACCCTAAAAATCATAAAAATGCATAAAAAATACTTAGAGATCACAACACTTTTTTTGATTTTTTTTTGAAAAAATCGCAGCTTTCTATACAAATTCGCTGAAAAAAAAAATCAATTTTTTTTTATTTATAAAAAAAAAATTTCAAAATTTTTTTCAACGAATTTGTATAGAAAGCTGCGATTTTTTCAAAAAAAAGTTTTGTGATCTCTAAGTATTTTTTTATGCATTTTTATGATTTTTAGGGTTTTTTTGTTTTCCAAATAACTCTTTCCTATATATATATATATATATATATATATATATATATATATATAGAGAGAGAGAGAGAAGAGAGAGAGATGGAAAGTATAACATATGTATGAGTTTTAATTAATTATCTTTTTGAAATGATACAATTACAAAACAAGAAAAAAAACATATTTAAAATATTTAATTAAATATTTTCGACAATGATCAATATATTAACGATTAAACCACAATATACAACGACTGTATTACAATAATCCAAAAACAAAGAAGATATAAAAATGAATTAGTATAACAAACTTACAAATTAAAAGGTCTAATATAATAGCATATCTCCAAAAGTGGTCATAAGACCTCAACCCAACACAAAAACCTTTAAGTTTGTTTTCTTTCTTAAATTTGTATATGATTTGTATGCATGTCTTCGCAAAAGATTGGCATTTTTATAGTAAACTTTTCACTAAATATTAATTAAACATAATATAAGTTATAAAACTTTTGAGTGTTAAAAATCATAATTAAGAAAACTTTTGAGCTGCATTAGTTAAAAAAATGGAGTTTCAAATGAATGTGGTTTGATGAAGTTAAAAAAGGGGGTTTCAAATGCATGAGATTCAAGAAAAAATGCTAGATTTATAAGTATGTATGAAGTTATATATTTATTGCAATTTACAAATTTGACCCTAATCTACTCTAACCTAAAAGGCAGTGTTTTTTTATTATCCAAATAAAGGATTAATATTCTACGATCGTACAAACTCAAATAATGGGTTTGATTTACAAAATACAAAGGGCACAAGTTCCAAATATGCGATTCAAAGATATGTTCTCAACGTTTTTACTTCAGATTTCATCGGCGTGTTACATAAGTCGAATCTCACAGGTTGCGATTTCATGATTTTGGTATTCAAAATTTCGGATTTTTGGTGAAAAGCATACGATTTCGCACATGGATATGTCATAAAATCAAATTATAAAAATCATGGATATGTCATATTATCCACGCAAGTCTCTTTTGAAATTCAAATTGTCTATCTTATCAGTTTATTATTTAGTGTATGTTTCACATTTTAATAGTAATATTAAGTGTTTCTTAAAATTATTATTTAACTTATTAATAATAATAAGTAGTTTAAAACTAAAGAACAATAATTTTAAATGATAATAACATCAATTTATAAATTACATAACGTTAGAAAGAAATAAATTGTATTTTAAATGAACATCATTATTGAAATTAGAAAATAGTCGCATAAATAAAAACCTAATTATTGGCGAATGAAATCAAAAGTGTCAAAATGATTTTAAATTAAAAACGGGCATAGTAAAAGACCATTCTTCAAATTATTGTACCATTTAATGGATCATCCAAAGACGTGAACAAGAGCCCTCTCTTTTTAGGGAAATATGTGTACAACAAAACAACTAACTAACTCTCTCTCTCTCTCTAGTTCTCATGGAATATTTCCGGAAGGGCTAATGGATTCAGTATTACTATATGTGTCCTTTTACTATTTCGATTTTATGAAATAGACCCTCCGTTTTCTTTTTATATATTCTATTAACGGGTTTCCATGAAACAGAAATTATACGTGCGATAATATATCACCATGAAATCGATTCCAATCATAATGTTCATGTTTCTTTTTATGCTGGTAATCGGTAATATTAAGCTCTTACATGATATCAATGGAGTCTTGAAGGACGATGAATACTTAAATATAGCACTGATGTATTTGACGTAAATTGTTAGTTATATTTTTATGTTTTGGTATACTTGAATGCGTTTTGATAACATGAGTTTTGTACGATAGCATTGTATTTTTGATAAAACTAATATGGTAACTATAGAGTTTGTTTTGCTATTTTCATTGGTTTTTCATGCATAAATATTAAATCACAATTTGTTAAATGTTACTATTTTAATTAAATGATTATATTCACGCGCAACGCGTGTGGATTCGACTAGTATCTTACAAAGCTAGCATTTTTCATTTCACCACATTCATTTGAAACTTCCATGCATTTTTCCGTTCACCATATTCATTTGAAACTCCCATGACTTTTCAATTTCTTCCTAATAATTGTTATAAGTTGGTTAATAAGATTAAATAAATATCAAACATAAAGTGTAATCATATACAAACTAAATTTCAATATTAAAAGAATATCTTTACTTCTACTTATAAAGTTATGTTTTTTTAACTTTTAACATATTATACTTAATTTATTAGTTTTAATATATTTTTTGGGTGTAAACCATTATCATTTTAAAGCTATAACTTTTGAACAATTTGTATAAAATACTTAAATTATAAATTTAAATATAATGTTA